TGGCTGGGCATCAGTTGGCGGGTGGTGAGCAATTGCATCATGCATCACTTATTTTGTATATTCTATTATCATTATTATTATTATTTTCCTTTCCTTTTTTGTCCTGTTAAACTGTCTTTATCTCAACCCACAAATTTTACTTCCCCCCCCCAATTCTCTCCCGCATCCCACCATGGGGGGGCAGTGAGCAAACGGCTGCGTGGTGTTTAGCTGCCTGCCAGGTTAAACCACAACACACCTTTACCGAGTAATTCCAGTTTACACAGTGACGTGGTTGAGTTTGGTCAGAGTATCAAATCCCAGAGTTACTGATCTGACTGGAGCCCTTCATTCCTTCAGGCTAATAATGCTGCTTCTCCCTGCTTTGTGTTGGGAACCAAACAACAGGGAAGATGGCTGGAAACCCCCAATAACTTCACTGCCCAGCAGGAGACCAAGACTATTTGGCCTTCTACGGGCAGTGGTAGATCAACTGGTGTCCACCATTGTATTGTCAGTGCAACATGTACCCTGGTCAAATGCTCCTGGACATGCAAGCAGCCTGTCAAATATTTCTCAGGGTCATCACAGGAGTGCCAGCACTTAGAGTCCTAATCAGGAATGGAAACTGATGGTCTCTTTTTTTTCCTTAAGTGCTACATGCATTTGGCAGGAAAGTGGGTCCAATCATGAAACTCCTTTTGACAGCAAAACAGAGCTGCCCCTATCCCAAGTGTGAGCTGTCCTGGCTGGCTGTTTGTCTTCTGCCTTTCAGTTGCATTGCAACAAGAGGGCAGGTTCAGCCAAGCATATTCAAAAAGCCTGAGACTGCTCACATCACAGAAATTAGCTCACTGCAACCCCACCGAATGATATAGCATCGAGTCTCCTCTAAGAGCCATAAGACATGGGAACATACAAGACTAATTGGAAATACTTCACTGTTCAGTTGCGATTAGCAAATGGGGGCAGTCACTGTACTGGATACCCAACCCTCGACAAGAGTCACATCAGATGTGCAACTGCAGCAACATTGTTCTAATCTTCCCGTTACCTGAAGCAGCACACCCCTTCCCTACATGCAGGCAGACCACAGTGGCCAGGAGAGGGGAACACAGCGTATTTGAAGCACTGGAAGACATCCAAAGATGACTCCCAGTCACTTTCTTCTCCTTAGGTCCAGTGAATGATGTTCTTGGGTAAGAGCCTCATCTCCCCCACACCCATCCACTCCTGCTCTACCTCTTCTCCTCTTCCAGCTGGTTCAACAGCTCAATCTTCTCCTTCTGCATCCCATCCACCAGGGCTCGTGCTCGCTGGAGGTTTCCTTCTGCCTCCGTGACGTACTGCAGCAAAAAAGAGCCCGAGTGACAAAATTAACAATGTTTGAAGTATAGAGTTGTTTAAAAAAGGATCAGAACAAGGGAACAGAAGGTTTTGATGATCTGTCTCAGAGGCTGCTATGGTAAGAAGATAGATTTGCAAAAAAGGCCAGTATGTAGGTATTAAAAAGAAAAAACCTGCTCAATTTCCAGCAGCTTGTAAATTTGATCCACGCTTCAGTGCCTCTCTGACTTGAACCCTGGAGAACCCAGCTCTGATGAAGAGGTAAGCACCCAAAGCCTGAACAGCTTTGAAAATCTGGTCTGAGGTTACCAGATGCAATTCAGCCCTGGTCATGAAGCAAGAAGTCATTTCAGGCTTGCGTTAATTCATTTGTTACTGGTAATTACTGGAAAATACTATACACAAGGAAGATGTCAGTTTGTAGTTGATTTGCCAACTTCTTCTGCAGTTCTGACAGGCAGGTGTGGCCCACCACACAATGATATACAGTGCCATCAATGCTCCCTAGTAGCTGACTAGGGTTTATAAACATGAGCAAGGAATTTAGGGCAACAGCAGTCATTGAACAGCACAAACACAACTCCTCCTTTTAAGCATTCAAATGCATAAAACATCATTTGTAACAATGCTTGTGCAAAACAGCTAATATGATCAGTCTGTTTTCTTTACAGATCTCTACTTTATTAATGTGATAAAAACCTCCCCTCTGGCAGGAAAGCAGTGACATATGAACTGAGCTGATGTTCTCAGCAGTGCCCGATAGCATCAAAAAACCACTGCAATGCAGTCACGGCCAAGGCCAGATTGGGTAGCTAAGGGGAACAAGTTTGCCCTCCACTTGCATTTCAGCATTCGAATGTATTGATCCACCAGACACTATCTACTGCCCTTTTTCTGCTCCTGGCTTGGGGCAGAGAGAGCACATGCTCCACTGGCAGGAGTGGAGAAAGAGCCTCAGCTTAACCCACCATGCAGGAAGCTGTCTCCACATGAAAGGCAGAAATTCAGAGCCCAGGTTTCACATCAGGAAACTATACACAGGTAATGTTATCATGATCCAAAACTTTCAGAGGATGCCAGATATTTGTGTGCTAGCGATAAAGGCACATCATCTCCTACCTGCTCGTGCTGGGCCTTCATGATGGCAATCTCTTTCTCCACCTCACAGATGTGGCTGGTGGCTTTGGCAACCTCAGCCCGCTCCAGGTCACGCTCTGCCAGTAGCTGTTCGATGTGCTGCTGCTTCTCCTTTAGTGCCTCCTGGAGAGCTGTGGTGCCAGAGATTTTTCGGGCATATCGAGAAGAGGTCTCTGTGAGCTGGGGAAGAGAGTTCAAAAGAGACAGGGGTAAAGCTGTGTCCTTCCTAATCTAGAGTAGCTCAAAGTCCCCTGTTAAATCTGGAATGCAGCTCACCTACTGATCATTTATTAGGCTGCACAGAGCTGCAGTTCCAGCTCTGGACCCTCCGGGCCCTACAGGCAGGGTTAACAGCTCTGCAAAACATCTGGACACTGCTTACAAGCTCAATAGCTCTGCTACACTGCACCGAAAGGACCATTTCCCAAAGGACAGGATGTGGGGTGGGAATTGGGTCAGGAAAGATTATCATGTATAGTATCATCTGCCTTCTTAAATATATTTTATTCATGACCTGCAACAGTGCAGTCCCAAACAGTGAGCTCAGCTGGGAGGACTGATCTCAACTGGAGACTGGTATGGGCTAGTTGGATCCACTCCCAGTAATGGATGCTGCACCCTCGTCCCCAGCCAAGATGACTGCAGGTGCTATGCAGCACACGCTATGGCAGAGTTAGAGCTTTTAATAATATTGCTGCCTGCTCTGGTGTCCGCCTTCTTGAGTACCTGCCAAAGCACAAGGCACATGATTCCAGGACAGTGTCACCCCTCCACAGTAAAATGCAGTCATTGCAGGAGCTTTCGCATATGTTCAACACAGCGGCACGCTGCTACACAACCATGAGGGACAAGAAGCAATGGCAATTTTTGCAGGGATCCTGTACAAAACCTGCTCTTGACAGTGGAGCTGAGATTCACCCAATCGCAAGTAGCACTTTGGGCTCTTCAATGGTCACAATTGCTCAGTGTCTGTTACGCCTCTCGTGTCCATGGAGGGAGACCTATCTGTAAGGTGGGTAACAGTATCCCACACTCCACTCCCCTCGTCTCATTGATGGTGAAGGAGCAGCTGCCCCAGTGCAGCTGCTGAAACAAAACCCCAACCCTTCCACTCTGTAGAGCCGGGTCACAGTAGTAGTGGAGTGAGGCTGCACAGTCTCTGGAAAGCGCCACTTACCAGCCCGCTGCGGCTGGGCCTGCCCCCAACAGACGATGCCACTGAGCTGACGGAGCTGATGGAGGAGCTGCTGGGGCTGTGGGTTAAGGCAGACACTCCCATGGCCATTCGTTTGCTCTTCTTTGCCTTGGCGGGGCTGGTTGATGGGAACCCAATCCGGATCACCTTGTGGATGGGAGCAAAGAGGCCAAACTTGGGAGGGCACTGAAAATACCTGTAATACAGAAGATGCACCACGTCAGAAGTGGTAAGAGCATTCATCTCGCCCAAGCCTCACAGAATGGCACTGGCTAAGCAACATGCAACCCTGGCCCTCAGCTCATCTCTCGGTGCTTTGCTGTGACATTGTTTCCTGCATGCAAGAGGTTGGATTATTCTCCTTTCCTGCCACTTAAGAGTAGTGGACATCTCCATGTTTTCACTCGTGGTGCTTAAGCAGGGAAACCCAAGATAATTGCCACGCACTAGTTGCCGCACACTTGGATGAGATGCCAGGAAAGACCCATCTGGTAGCCTGGACAGCACAAAGATCCCGTACATAAACACAGCGAGAGCACAGGCACTCCTTCCTTACCGCAACAAACCAGCCTCCCCAAAACTTGCGCGTGTTCTCTACCCTGCTTTGCAAGAAAGTCACGTAGCAAAGTGTGTCGAATAAAAAGATCTGAATCACACAGCTCTGTTTAAACGTTCCTCCCAAAACAGAAGGGGAAAATGGCAGCCCCTAACTTTGAAGCTAAAAATACCATTACAGCAAACCAGCGAACTCCAGTGTGTGCCATCTCCTCTGGGTGGCAGAGAAAGAGAAACTGGTCCCCGTGCAAACAAACTTAGAAAGAAGCAAGCATAAAAAAGGGAGGATCAGATAATTACAGTGCAAGCTCTTTTCCACAACTGCAGCGAGCCTGATGATTATGTCTCTCTGGAGCCCTCTTTCAGGATACAAATGAGCCAAAACCCACAGTGTCAAACCTTGGAAACCCCTTCAGAGCTTGGGCCGACGGGCTCAAGCCAGGGTTTATCTGTTGCTGGCCAGCTGCACTGCAGCCAGTAAAACCAGATCATCCCCAGGCGTCGCATCCCCTTGTTTCAAGGGAGTAGTCACCACAGAAAACCGTCTCCATTAAGAGTTCTTTCTCAAAGGCTTCGTAGCAAGGTTAGGGGAAAATACTGAGCCATATAATAGTCTGCCTTATCTTAACATAAAAAACAGGTCCTAACGAATAAATGACACAAATCCAGCTTTGCTAGCACAAGTCCTCTCTCTCCAGATGTGAGCAGCTGCTTCCCCAATTCCCTTTTATTTTTAAGTGCTGGCAGCCACACGGCTGTATCACAGGCAGACCTCTGTGCTCTTGGGAGGCCAGAGAACAGCCTCATCTCTAGCCAGATGAGAAGGTGATTCATTTTCAAGCATCTGCTCAAGCCCAATTTTTTCTGTAACAATCTTTAAAAACAAAAACCAAGAACAACCCTCTACAACCCAAAATCACCTAGCCCCCTCTGCTTGCTGCCAACACAGGTTCTTGGGTTTGGAAAACCAGCCATACCGCAGGCTGACCTTGCTGCGGAACAGAGACCCAAGGAAGAAAATCCATCTGACATCCTGCCAGCCAGCCAAAACCCTGCACAGCATCATATTCTCAAACTGAAGTAGGCACAGGTGGACCAACAGCACGGCACAGCCCCTTCCACAGGTCTAAGCATGGACTGGTACTTGTGGCTGTACAACAATGCCAAAGGCTAAGTCCCTCAAAACCCCCCTGACAGGTCTTAGCAAGTCCAAACTTGCACTCTGATCACTCTGCGTCTGCTCATTTTCTTTTAGTCCAGACTGGAAGTGGTTGCAATTAACTTTTATAGTTCAGAAGCAGGAATTGGGTCCAGAATACCTGGCAGAAGGAGGGGAAAAAAAAAAAAATCTGCTTGAAAACCAAGAGCTGCCCTCACTGAGTGCTGAGGAGCCCTAAACCCACATTACAAAAAAGAAACAGGGAAGAAAAGTGGCATTGTGATGGCAATGCAAACTGCAGGTGGGAAACAGCACAGGAAATTTTGAAATAGATAAAAAAACCCTTCAGTGTCCAAGGCCTGTAGCTGATGTTTCAGACTATGTGAAAGCAAAGGCATGAGCAGTTTAGTGGGCAGACTCCCGTAGGAACAGGGGCAGAGAAGGAAGAACAGTAAAATAAGCAAGTAAAGGTTAATATACTGGAGATGAGTAAGTGGAACTTGCTTGGCTTTGTGGATAAGAAAGCAAAAATACCACACCAGCACCTCTCTAGTCTCCTATACAGACAGGAAAGCAGATGCAGCAAACCCCACCGTGTCTCAGCAGCATCCATCTGATGTACGGAGAGGGGCTCACCACAGTGATATCCTGTCCTCTCTACCACAGCCTGCAGGCAGTCTCCACCAGAGAACCGCAAGCTGCTCGGGAGACCCTGGCCCTTCATCCTTCCCTTGACGCACATCCAGACCTGGATGCCCTTCCTGAACCTGCCGGAGAATCAGCGCGACCCTCCTCAAATTTCAGCTGGTTCACCACTGACTCAACTGGAGAACCCACGGCAGCAAAGATGGTGACAGTCCTTTTCTTGCTCATTTGCCCACGTGTTTGCTGTCCTACTTCCACCAGCCTTTACTGTCTTGAGTGGCCCTTTGGACCCGACTCTCCTGCTGTAGCAGACAGCTACTGCGGCAACAAGCGCTGGTCTCGGGCAGCCAGGCCGAGGATGCTCACTAGATGGCAACCATCACCAAAGCAGAGAGACTCCAAAGTCCTGAGCAGTCTCTGCCCAGACTGATTCTGGCAGGACAAGCTGAGGGCAGTATCAGGAACCCCATGTGGCGGTGGCAAACATAGGGAAGACTGTCTGAGGGGTGCCTGCATGCACCGAGAGAGTTGGTTTTACTATGTTGGCTTCTCCAAAACACTGCTGTTGAAATCGGCACATACTGTAAGAAAATCAGAAGGTTGGATGAAGACTCAAAGGACAAACAGGGACAAATGCTGCAAACCTGCAGCTGAATCCTTAGTAGACAGAGAGCCCTTCAGCTGGAGAGTCCACATGCACCACTGCTGTATCAGCTAGTATCCATTATTGCGATATCATCTGTAAAATCACCTTGGATGCAAGGGGCAGGGATGCCTTACAGACTTCCCTCGATCTCCCTTGTTTAATCCAAACCTCTTAATTCACTCCCGATCCCTGCTGTGGAGCTCAATTTTTCCTGCTGTTGATAAAGTGTGAAACAAAGGAGAAGCCTTGAAGACAGGGTACACACCATAGCAACCTCGGCCAAGATGTAGCAGTTTCAGAAGATAGATGACTTCCAAAAGTTGGATTTTCAAAACACAGCAACAGAGGTGTGAGGACGAGAGGCAGAGGGAGCACCTCCCATCTGCCTTCCACACCTTCCACGTGCACAGAGACAATAAATACTTTCTGAGCACCCTGAAGATTAAGCTTAGAGATAAGGGACTTGGATTCACTCCATGACTTATTCTCTGTCATCCTTATTCTCTGTCATCCTGGTTCTTTTCTTTTGAGAACAGGCTGGAACTCAGCCATCTGCTGCCAATCATTTACTGGTTTCTTGTCCTGACATTGAACAAGGCAACGTTTCTCTTATTTTAAATGAAAGCACATGGCTGTAAGACAGAACGAGGCTGACCCAACACAAGAAACCTTTATTACAGAATCTGATATCTAACAAGGGAGGAACTCTCAGCTCCTCAGTTTCAAAGCTAAATCTCACCTCTAATGCAAGATTCCCTCAAGAAGCGCCAAGAAATCAACAGTATTTCCCACTAAAGGAACTTGTGAAGGACAAGGAATCTGTTCCACCTGTATTTGAAGCAGGGTCAAAGTTCTGCTCTATAACTCAGATTCAAATGTCCCCAAGCTCAAGATCTGAGGCTGAGGGTCATTCTCTTCTCCAGTTTCCACGTGAACAGAAACAGCTTCCCAGCAAGCCTGCGAGATGCCCCTGCCTAGCTTTATAGATACTAACAAGGGGTTTTTTTGAAAAGAAAATAGTAGAGGTACCTATTGATCTTACTACCTCTGACTCCATCAGCAGACAGCTGTCATACTACAGAATTACTACGACGACAGAAAACAACCTCCAATCGTTCTTTCAGTTCTCTGGAAATTTGTCCCCAGAAAGAACAACATTAAGCTGAGGAAAAAAGAGAGTCAAATCTTTATCTTCTTTAGTTCTGGCAGGGTGAATTATACCACAAGAAGCAAATTTATGAAGGGAACGTGTGGTAAAAAGCAGAGCTAATACAATCACAGAATCAATTTCTAGCAAAAACAAAATCCCACTATAAGTTATCTTCTCTTCCTACTCTCTCCTGTTTCCTGAAGCCACTTGGTTTACTTCTTTACAGACCTTAACTGATCCTGCTTTAACATGCTCCAGTGATGAAGTTTCTATTGATCTCCCCGCAAAGATATCCCAAAGCTTAAAAACCTAAAAACTGGACTCTTCCTCCCAACCCACAATGTCCAACCAAACACAGCCGCACACAGCCCTGAGTCCTCCTCCCAGGTCCAAATGGCATTTGGCCCCCAGCCATCCTAGGAGGTGTGTAGAACCCTACACAACCCAGGCTGGGTTTGAGAACGCACAGTACCTTGTACCAGCAACTGCCCCGTCGTTCTTCCCCAGGGGTTCATCCAGTTCCACACCACACCACTCTCCTTTGGCAAAATCCGTCTCTCCCACGTAGCGCACAACTCCTGTCTTTGTCCCACCAACCTGTTGGAGATAAGATGCCAAGCATTAGAGTCAGCAGCACTGGCACTGCCACAGGGGACTAAAGCTGGGACAGCCATGGAGAGAGGAGAGGGGGAAGACATCATCGGTATTTTCTGTTTCAGATCTAATGAAACCAGAACAGATAGTTTTCATATCAAGTTCTCCTAGCACTAAAGATGTCTCTTCAATAACTACAAGCAGGTTAACAAACTCCCACTTTTGGACCTGCCTGCCTGGAAGATGTCAGGACAAATACAGCGAAAACATATTTTAAGGCATCAACTAATTGCACAAAGTTACCTTGTGAGGCCATGAAGGAGTCTAAGCCCTCCAAGCACAGCTCATACCTGCCTTCTGTAAAGAACGAAGATCTGCACTAACGGGGTTTCAGTTCTGTTCTTTCAGCCAGCAGTTCTGAGCAATGCTGGGACAGGACATCAAAGAGACAAGCTCAGCCAGCTCTTCAGCTTGTCCCCATGCAGGGTTTGCTAGTACGTAACGAACAGCTCTCACAGCAAATTTCTCAAAATAGAGGCGTTTTGTACAGAAAAAACCTCTGCTTTTACCTACACCTTCTACATCAATTCACGGCGCTAGCATGCTGCATGGGAAAGGGTCTCATCTCACTGCTAGGCTTCCACTAGCACAGATTTTTTCCCTCCATGGAGAAATAAATATAAATCACACCTTTTGCTCCCATATGTACACTCAAAGTTTTCAGCGTGCTGAGTAGACTCTAGTCAGGAATGTACGAAGCTGTGTTTTGATCACTGCAATGACAGCACATTTCACTGAGCAGCAGCTGCCTGTCTTTGCACTGGCAGCTCCTACAGGTTTGCTTAGATACTTGTGCAGAGAAGAGAAAGAGGGAAGAGCAGGAGGGATCTTCTAAAGGTTTGTACTTCAAGCAAATCAGCATATGATTTAAACCTTTTTTAGCCTATCCCTGCTAAAGCCTAGGTTCAAAGAAGAAAGCTTAAAAAATAAGTTTAAAATTAAATTTGCAGCTTTATCTTGAATGACTTGTGGTTATTAATTTTCTTAATATTAAATTTTACATAAAAGGATATCAACAGAGTAATATTCTCCTACAGAAAACAGTAATAGTCAAATGCAGAAATCTCCAGTTTTGTCTATTCCTGGGTAAGGATGTTACAGATTTACCAATTCTGAATCCCTAAAAATTCTGAAAATTGCTTATGCAAAGGAGAGAGAGTTTTCCCAGCCTAAAAATAACTGCACCTGAATGGACTGAAGAACACAGCTCTGAAGTCTGGGTCCTACCTCAAGTCCTGGGAGGCTGCGCTGCAGCATGCAGCTTGAGCCATCTTCTGTAATTTCTCTCACTATTCAAAGTGCTGCTTATGGAAAAACCTTTGTTGATGTTGTTCTCTTTGCTACAGGAAGGAGGAAAATATTTGCCAGCAGGAAAAGTATCACAAGAAAGCTTTGTGGTCCTACGTTGTGTCCAGGAGTAAAAAGATGATTCAGTTCCAGTATTAGGTTTGGCAAGTTACAGATTTGAACAGTTGCAGCAAAATTATTCACCTGTCACTCACGGTCAAACAGCAGTCCCCTTTTTGATTTATTTGAGTTTATACAGACTTAGTCTCTTAATATTAATGCAATGATTTAATGCCATTCTAATACATTTCTTTAGCTGCAGGTTGAACTCAATATAGGTGTAATTCATCTTCATGTCATTTATAGTAACTTACCATTGCTGGTAAGCTCCCTCAATTTTATTTTTATTGAGTTTTAACTACAGATATTGAGCCACATTTCCTTTACCAAGCCACATGATCCCAACCCCACAGAGCCTCATGTAAACACCTTAAAGACCTGACGAGCTCCCTCCATCAGCGTGACTCTTACCCATGCTATTCTGGCCATCTACTAGAGGCCCACATTCCTCCGTCCACACAAACAGGACCGCTCAGTTACGTCCCCATAGATATTACTTATTTTGAGAAAGCTGTTTCCAAACAGGAGAGAAAAATAACTAGCCCTATTGACTTAATACACACATTATCTAATTATGCCAATACCAAAACCGCACAGTAAGAGAGCAGGTCACATTCCTACCCGAAAGCCATACATCAGTGAAGATGCTAAGTGCAGATCAGGTCTAACGCTCCCCCAAACGGCAATGTGATTCTCTGCTTCCAAAGCAATGTATTTTATTTTCTCTTTCAAGCATTAATTATTCTGCCATCTTTTCTGTGAAATACACCCTTGCCATACAGCGTTTATCTTCTCCCCCAAGCCAGAGCGGACACATCTGCTCCCCAGCAGCCTGGGCTCCCCGCATCCCGACAGCGCTGGCAGTACAGTCAGAAGCCAACATCAGGCTGTCACACTCACATGCCAGCGCTTGACGCTCTTGTTGAACTTCCCATCTTTTGGCAGGCACACAGAAACTCTTATGGATGGAGAGCCTAGAAAATTCATCCGACTCAGACGTGCAGATTTATTCATCCCTGATAATCTGCTAATGCTGCTAAAATAAATAATGTTTTTTGGAAAAATCCAGCTGGCAGGTCATATCAGCGCACGAAACAGCCTCATCAAAACAGAAGCGTTTGTTTCTATCAGACCCTTCAATAAATCAGAGGTATCACCTTGGAAGGAGGATAAAAGGCAGCTTGTGAAAGCCAGGGAGGTTAGCAATTGCATAGCATAACTCATGGTAGCTCACAGCCACCCCCTCTGCACATGCCTAGCTTTGATACCATGCCCCACAATCCGGGCGTGAAAGACAGCAGAGCTGGGCGGCTCCTACTGCACTAACACGACTGCCATCATCACGCTAGAGACCAGATGATTTCCATCCCATCAACATCTCAGCCTGCCATTAGCATCAGTGCCACCCTGAGCCATGAGTTTCTCTGTGGAAAACTTGTCTGCATCTCTCAGCCCGGCACATTGATCAGAGCCGCAACCACACCTTCAGCTTGCCGAGTGTCCGGAGTTAAGCAAAGACAAACCGGACAGGGCAACCCGTCTCTTTGCTAAAGCACAAGACAGCACAGAGTTAACAAGGCTGCCAGCGAGCTCAGCTACACCCCGGCAGTTCAGACCTGCCACGGCTTTTATAGTTGACAAGTTTCGTTCAGAACTGAACAAAACTCCCAAAGCTTTTCTGAGAAGCCGTTAATAGTTACCTTACCAAAACTATTACTGAGATTATTCATGTCCAAGAGAATGGGATTTTACCAGATGTAAAATGTTACTGGGTTTAGTTCGTTTTGGGAAAAAAACACAACAACCCAAAACCAAAAAGCAGCTCAAAATAGCTCTTTCATGAAACTCCAAAAACCAGAAACAATATTGACATAGTGATATAGGATTTTTTGTTTTGGAGGGTATTTTGACCAGCATCAACGTTCCAAATTTCTCAGTTACAGGTAAAAACCACTTATGATTAACATTACACAAGCTCATGGTGGTCCACCCTCTCCAGCTGGATTCAAGCAGCCTCAGAGCCACATGCCTCTGACCTCTTGGGAAGTTCAGCTCCAGACTGAAGTTCTCTGCCTCAGCTCCGATGCCTTTTTCATGCCTTTGACTAAAGACCATCTTCCTGACCTGGCCTTTCCTCAACAAAAGATCTCCAATAGTCTCAAGAGACAGTCTTGGGCTTGACCTTCACAACAAAATGAAGCCAGGAATATTTAACAGGTCTGTGTCCTAACTGGTGAGTCAGAAGACCAACATGCACTCATAGAAGAAGGACATCCATACGCCTTCCCTGCTAACTGCAGTATCACTGACATCACGTTTTACTATGGTTTTCTCATCAAAATGACAAAATTGGATCCAGACCAGTATCCCAGGGCTGAAAAGACAATGATGGTAATCCTTCCAGACACTGTCTTCATCAGAGCTGCTAACATACCATTTAAACAATTTACCAAATTAGCACCAGGCCATATCTCAATCTGGCTGCTGCAAGTCAGACTCCCTCCAACCTGCATCTGCTCTTTTCCCCTTATGTCCTCCCTGCCCGCCCCACAGCAGTTTCTTGCTCTCAACAAGAACCTCTTAACAGCTGTCCTCAACCCAGGGCCTGTGGGCAATGCATTGCTTGCAATACGCTCCAGTACTGCTCAGGGAGAAAAGAAAAATAAAATTCTAAGTGTCATTCAGGCCAACAGGAACCGTTCCCCACCATGTCATGCACGGTTCAGGGGTCAGCAATGGCTGTAGATGCCTGCTTGAGCATATCCCCAGGCAGAAACCACGGAGATGATGCTGTGCTGTCTGCTTAAAATTCTAATTTACCCATCTAAATTTATTTTCTCAGCTGCTTTCCAAAGCATCTCCACAAGACAGTGCTGCTGACCAGAGGGTCAAGGTGGGAACAATAAGTGCCCAAGTACAGCACACTGACATGCCTCCTCTGCAGGGTTCCTGTGTCTCATGCTGGGTCCTGGCGGAGCTGTGAAACTCTCCTACTGCTCGCCTGTGGGAAGAGAAAGGAAGGGGACAGGAGGGAAAGGGCAGACACAGGACAATTTCTTTACTCTGAGGACCTTCAACTACTTTTAATGTGCTGCACATAAGCTTACTCTACACTGTTACTAGACGATACTAACAAGAAATTGGAGCTCACCTCTATTGGACAAGTGCTGCTTGCTCCAGTTCGAGCTGTAGCTACGGGCTGTATCCAGCGTGTGAACTGAAGCAGCCATCCTTTCCCTTGGAGGAAAAAAAAAAAAGGGTTTTCTTCCCCCCCTACACTCATCCACCCAGACAAGGAGCCTATTTCCACCCAAGCTGAGAGAGGCAGAAGCTGTGTTTTCCCACCACACATAATTTAGCTCTTCCAAGCATTGATGGCAGAAGATTATTGTACAAGACTTGATTTACAGAGGGTGCTTTTCGCAGCAGCGTGGGGGTGTGGGTCCAGCTATTGCAGATCACATGAAATAATGATCTGTAAGTACAAAGGGGTAAATGCACATACCTATGGGAAATGCACGCCATCACTTACTGGG